AAAGGGCAAGGGTCAGGATAAGGGCAGATGAGACACGAAAGAAGAAACGTGCTACTGGGTTGGGAGAATAGAATATGGGGAAGGAGGAGAGAGAAGGGACAGGAAGAAGAAATGACAAAAATAAATTGTTAGAATAATGAAATTTTTTTTTTGGTGTGTCAATAATGAAGGAAAGAAAAGAAAAGAAAAGAAAAGATTTCTCCTGCCTGTTCAAAGGCAGTCTAGTACACTGGAAGGACTCTGCACACAAGAGCTATGTTTATAAATGCTTCTCTGTTTCTAGTCCTGTCTTTCCCTTTAAATTCTAATTGCCTTAAAAGTCAACATGTGCTACTTGGAACACATTCACTCCCTTGCAGAGCTTAGTTACTTAGCAATTTCATTTCCTTACACATGCTAAGCTTGTAGGGACCAGAGACTATGCCTCGTGTTATTATCAATATTTTTTATTATTATTATCAATGTTCTCAAAAAGACCTAGTATAGAACAGTTCTACAGGCAAATATTAACATTTCATTTATTGAATTTAAGTTATAGTAACATTTTACTGTGACTCGATATCCAAGAATATTATTTTTATAATGATGTATCTTTTAACAATACATAACACAGCATGATCTACACAAATGTATAGACATAAATTATATGAAATCATCAGAAGTCCAGGGTGAAGGAAACTCTATCTTTTAAGTGTAGATTGATTTCTGATTTTTAATTTTGATTTTTTTAAACAAGGTAGTTGGTGATGAAAAATATTAATATGTTGATATGTGATATAAATAACGAATCATATGAAAATTACAAAGCGAGTGGGTGGCTTCATAAAAGTCACATAAAAATTTTAACTAAAAGGAAAAATTGGGAATTAAATATAACACCACTATATATTTTTTTTAATGTCTACAGAGAAATAGTACCATTTACTTTTTATTATTAGAGGAAAAAAATGTCTTGCTGGAGTTAAAAGTAGTTTAGCAGAGATGAACTCATTTAATTTTTCTGATTCCTTGGGGAAATTTTTGGAAAACATAGTAACTCCATGTTATAAATGAAGACAGTGTCCAGAGGGTTGAAATTGGAAAGACACAGGACTGCTTACCAAAATTGGTGGTTAAAACCCAAATCCCTCACTGTAAGCCTGTATCTGTCCACTGGGCAATATATCACATTTATAAGCATTGTCTGTTGGAAAAATACATTTTAGGCTAAAAACTTTCCCATTCACATCTTCCAAGTTCTCTACTGAACTGCTCACATTGAGAAGTAAAGAAAGAATCTGGAAAATTTCATGTTCAAATGATCTTGTTGCTTTGCACCATCTGATGACAGAACATCAGAAGACAGGAACTGGACCCACTCCTCTATTTTCTTTGTATAATCTGGACGAGTAGCTAATTCTATTTTATGGAAAAATCTTAAATTACTGTAGAGAGAAGAGTAATGTAAAGGATGAGAACCAAGGCTCAAATCTTCACTTGGTCCCCATGGGCAAATCTATGTAACCATCAAATGTCTCCCATGAGAACTGTTTAACTGCATTATGGCTAATGCATTTGGAACACCTAGTTCTAAAGCAAAGGCACAAAAGAGATTTGTTGTAAAATCCAGTTCAGCTCCCAAGAAGACAACGGTAGATTAGGTGACCAGAGAGACTCCTTGGAAACTTCCACGCTTGCTGTGTTTCTGAGTCATGTCTTTGGTCAAGGATAAAGTTGACTTTGAATTATGTGGCTCATGCTTCAGCAATGGTTTTGCTCTAGGCAGATGGGCCATATGGAAACTATGAACTGGCCTCATAGGCAGGATCTTGATGAGTCAATGAAACATTTGTATGCTTTCTGTTTTTTTCAAGTGCTTTAGTGAACAATGTATAGGACATGGCATACCATGTGACTTTGTTTAAATTATGAATTGTTTATTATCATCATCATCGTCATTGTTGTTGTTGTTTTTTGAAACAGGAAGTCTTTGTGCAGCTCTGGCTGTTTTGATTCTTGCTCTGTAGACCAGGCTGGCCTTGAACTTAGAGATCCACCTGCCTCTGCTTCCCAAGTTCTGGGATTAAAGGCAAGTGGTACCAGCTGAATTATTATTATTTTTATTGTTATAGATGTTTTTTAATATAAGACAGTTTTTTTTAAAAACAAGGCTTGACCAATTTTGTATGTACGCTAAATGTAAGCATTCCAATTCTTAATGGAAGGCATGGATTATTTTGATGCATCAATCAACTTACAAAAATAGGGGGAGAGGTAAAATCAGCAGTATCAAAGATTGTCTTTTTAAATTAAAAGTTCTTTAAAAGATATTCTTGTTATGACAAAAGGGAAGGAAAGAAATAAAAAAAGAAAAGAATAGGTAATTTTCTATGAGCTAGGAGACAAGCCTGATTCACCAGACAATTGTTTTGAACAGTGCAAAGTATTTCCTCTCTGTTAGCTAATTCAATAATTACTCGAGATAGAACAAACCCTTCACTTCAAGATTTATAAAAAAAAAAAAAATTAAAAAAAAGGAAGTAGTTTTGTTTTCCTGGATAGCACTTAAAATTTAATGAGGCATTGTGTGGGGGAAGAAAACTCACAGCTGTTGGCCCCGTGCCAAAATGGAACAGATGAACGGCACTCACGCGGTTGTGTGTTTTGTGTAGGATGTGGGAAGGCTGCAGAATAGGTAAAATTAATCTGTGGAAAATAACTGCACCGGTTCCTTGGAGGTATTCAGAAACACTATCGGATGTACTCACGCAGCCTGTAAATCTTTGCAAAGCCCATGATAAGGAATGATCACATTTCATCTTTGTAATTAAAACATAGTGGACTTAGATGTTCTTCAACAGAGTTAAAAATGCAAACCAGAGATAATATGGGGGGTAGGATTGTTCTAACAGGGGGAAGTTTAAGGAATTATCATTTAAATGTATTTTTTTTCCAAGAAGATTTACTAAAATACAATGATGTCTTATGCCTAAGAGCAGAGGAAAATCACAGTGTTTCCCAGTATAATAAACGGACCTCACATCGTACAGATCGACCTTCCTTGCAGATTGTATTTTTCGAGTGATAAAAGGTCTTGTAGGAGGTTAGAAAATGTGCTCACCCCCAATCCCCACTACAAGTACGGTGGGGGTCTCTTTCTGTGCTTCGTTTTAAAGCAAACCAGTAGAACTGGAGGCTAAAGCTGAGAGTTGGCTCTAAATGAACAAAATAGAAGAGTTTTTATGATTACAACTAATCTTAACTCAAAGAGGAATTTAAAATAAGACACCTAGTGTGGCATCATATACATGTGAAGCCAATTGGTTTTCTTTATACTTCCTGGAAAGCCTAATGAGACGCCTACCTAAAGGCTTTGCTAGTTGAGTAACTGCCATTAGAATCCCTTTGTTTCACCCTAAAACATGAGTTCCTTTTGTAGAAGGTTTCCACGGATCAAATCCACTGTGCATCCTCTGCCAGCATGTGCTCTCTTGGCACTGTGGCCACGCAAGGGACCTATTTTCTTCCATTTTTCAAAACGAGGACCTCACATTTCCCAGGTTAGCTTGGAGTTCACTATGCCACCTAAGAGGAACGCCCTGAACTTCTGTTCCTCCCCAGTGCTGGGACTAATGGCGTGTGCTGCCACCATCAGATCCAGTTTCTATGCAGCTGGGGCTTTGGGCGTGCTAGGAAAGCATTCTATCAACTGTGCTATAGCCCCAATATAAGATACAAAATGGTTTTTTTTCCATATCCAATTATGAGTCCACATAACATGAAACAAATATCAATAGACTTAAAATGATGACAAAATCAACACATGCATTTTAACCATCCTATTGAATTTTTACTATAAAGTTTAAATTTTTGTTATTACCTGACTCCCTTCTTCCCCTCCCTCCCCACCCCCCAAAAAAAACCCAAAGTTTTTTGTTGCTGGTGAGAGAATATAAATTTGATACTTCTTTTTGCTGCTGTTGACTGGTTTTTGGTTTGCTTTTGTTTTCCAGATAGGTTTTCTCTTATTAGCTCTGTCTATCCTGAAGCACACTCTGAGGACGAAGATGGCCTTGAGCTCAGAGATCTGCCGGCCTCTGCCACACAAGTACTGGAGTTAAAGGTGTGTGCCACCACACTTGGCTGAATTTGGTATTTTTAAACTAAGCATCTACTACTTCGGGTCATTGGAAAGAAAGGGACAATCTAGACTTGTCTCTAATGCTAACACAGTCCAAATCCTGCTTCCTTACCACAATGCTGTTACGATGCACTATGTGCACGTTGGGTTTTCTTTTCTTTTCTTTCTTTCTTTCTTTCTTTCTTTCTTTCTTTCTTTCTTTCTTTCTTTCTTTCT